ATATTTAAAAATGGCTGCAGCAGCCCATTCACAACAACCAAAAAGTCCAAGTAGATTATAAAGGGGCTGTGGAATGAAGGATGTCACAGCTGATGCCAGAGAGATCGTGAATGCAAGCAGAGATTAATGAAAAGATGTCTATCCGTGTTATTGTTTAATCTGCAAAACTTTCAGTTGTGTTCATCATCACAATTATGGATACTGGTGCAAAAATGTTAATTTCAAGAACAGTAAATTTCTTCTTGTGGAATGTGTCTAGAACAAAATGCAGTGGTTTGAACAGAACAAGGAAATACTGCAGACCTTAAAATCAGGAAAAGTGTGTTTCAGGATTATATCTTTTCCCTGTACCTGTTCAGTCTGTTGGAAGCTGGATCATATGATGAAAAATGTGGCATCAAGATTGGAGGAAGAAAACTTTCATTAAAATGAATTTTTTAAAAGGGAAAAAAGATTGGAGGAAAACGCATAAACAACTGTGATATGTAGATGACACAACCTTGTTTGCAGAACATAAAGAAGCCTTGAAAAGTTGCTGGGAAGATTGAGAAAATTCATAACATGATATAGCTCAATGCAAGCACATAAAAATTTAAAGGAATAGCAGCTGTTTTGCTACTTAAATGTTAGTCTTATTATATAATGTTTCCTATGGTTAATGTCTGGAGTCTCAGTTGCAAAATTCTTAAGCCCTCAGATGCTATTTGGAAAGTAGGTGGTTCGAGTCCACTATCCCCTCCTAGGGATTGAGATGTAGCATTTTGCCTCCACAAAGAGTATGCCTTGAAAACCTGTGTGTCCATTCTGCTCTGTCCTATGGGGTCACTTTGAGCCAAACTCAACCCGACCAACTTGGGGGGTGGGGTGGTAATGCCAAGCCATTTGCATTGTCATTTCTTTTCTGGTTTCTTGTGTATTCATTCCTATCACTGAGTCATTAAAATGGACTAAAATATACTGAAACAAAAACCAGAATCAGGATTTCAACCCTTTTTAGATTGTTGTTGTTATGTGCCATCGAGTTGCTTGCGACTCATAGCGACCCTAAACGAGAGCCCTAAACACCGTTCTATCTTGTGCCAACCTCATCGTCTCAAACACACTCATTCCCATCACTCCGCTCACAGAATTGATCCATCTCATAGAGGGTCTTCCCCTCTTGCACTGTCCCAAACATGATGTCCCTCTCCAAGGACCAGTCCCTCCTTGCAACATTCCCAAAGTATGTCAGATGAAGCTTCATAATCCTTGACTCCAAGGAGCATTTCGGCTTCACTCTCTCCAGGACAAACCCATTTGTTCTCCTAGCAGTCCATGGTATATTCAACACTCTTCTCCAGCACCACAGCTCAAAGGCATCAACTCTCTTTCTATCATCCCTATTCACTGTCCAACTCTCTGATGCATAGCATGTAATTGTGAAGACTATAGCCCGGATCTGCTGTTAGGGACCTCTCCAAAGTACTGAAGAGCAATGGTGTCTTTCTGGAGACTAAGGTGTGTCTGATACAGGCTATGGTCTTCGCAATCACCTGTTATGCATCAGAGAGTTGGACAATGACCAAGGAGGACAGAAGGAGAATTGATGCCTTTGAGCTGTGGTGCTGGAGAAGAGTATTGAGAATACCATGGACTGCCAAGAAAACAAACAGATTTGTCCTGGAAAGGGTTAAACCGGGTGACTCCTTGGAGGCAAGGATTCTGAGGCTCTGTCTAACATACTTTGGACATGTTGTGAGGAGAGACCAGTCCTTGGAGAGGGACATCATGCTTGGGAGGGTGGAGGGACAGCGCAGGAGAGGAAGGCCCTCTATGAGGTGGATTGATTCAGTGATTGGGATAATTGGGATGGGAGTGTCAGAGACGGTGCGATTGGCACAGGACAGAGCGGAGTTTAGGGCCGTTGTACATAGGGTCGCTATGAGTAGCAAGCGACTTTACGGCACATAACAACAACAACAATAGCCCGGATCAGGCGCATCATATTAAATCTCCTTTAGTGACAAAACGGAAAGGCACAGAAATGGTGATCTGCTCAACGTCACTGATGATGAAAATGGTCAAATACAGTGAGATTATTTTAATTGATAAGTTTGGTTTAAGGTTTAAACAATATCACAAAACAGTAGTTTTAGGGCTTAATCTACCTTTCATGAGTCTGTTTAAAGATTGAAGCCCACGAGACTTTGACATTCTGTTCTGCATTTCTTCCCTTTTCATTGGAATTCTTCTAAGGGACATTTGATCAGAATACCCAGTAACAGGGAATTACTTGCCCGAGGTGGTTAACCACACACTTAATATCTTCTCCTGAATCTTACTCTGTCTTTTCCTTTTGCTCCAGGTAAGAACAACTCTTGTACCTTGGATAGTGGCTTTCAAGGATTTAAGACCTTAGGAACTATCAGTTACAGTAGGAGACAGAGTAGAAATAGTAAACATATTGTTAGGCTGATTCGTTCAGATGACTGGTGGCCTAGTGGCAAGAAGCTGTGCTGTAAGCCAGAAGGCATGAGGTTCAAATTCACCAGCTGCTCTGTAGGAGAAGGATGGGCCATCTCCTCCCATGCCATTACCTGTCTCTGAAAACCTACTGGAGGGTTTGCTATGGGCAGGTTGACGGCACACAACAACAAGAGCATGAAATTACAGGGCGCTCTGATGGCTTCGGAGTAAGGAGCTGGGCTGCCAACCCACACCAGTTTGGTTTGAGTCCACCAGCTACAGAACAAAGACGGCGATCTCCTCTTGTGTAATTACTGTCTGAGAAAACCTGCTGGCGCGTATGCTCTGGGTGGGTTCTGGCTCGAGGTTACATAAAAACAATGAATGAGACTGTAACTCTAACTCTGCAAACCAAGGAGTCAAGTCCCACAGATGTGTAGTTAATAAGCGGCCTCAGTCGGCTGCTCTGGGGGCGAGAACGAGGCATCCTCTTCCCCTAAGGCTTGTTGCTGTTAGGTGCCGCTGAGGTCAGAATGACTCATAGTGACCCTGTGAACCGCTGTCCTGTCCTGCATCGTCCTCAGCACCTCTGACGCACGGGGCCCACTGCTGCAGTCACAGTGTCAATCCATCTTGTCGAGTTCTGCCCTTTCGCCAGCCTGTCCAAGCATGAGGTCCCTCTGGAAGGAACAGCCTCTTCTAACAACATGCCCGAAGTGAACAAAAAGCAGCTTATCTATCACCTTTTCCTCCAAGGAGCACTCTGACCACACTTTCTCTTACCCAAGGAGCACTGCCGACTGCACTTTCTCTTATGCAAGGAGCACCCCAACCACACTCTCTCTTACACAAGGGGCATGCTGACGGGACTTTCTCTTACGCATAGTTGTTTGTTCTTTTGTCAGTCCATGGGATATTCAATACTGTTCTCCAACGCCACAGTTCAAAGACATCCATTCTCTTCCTGTCATCCTGATTCACTGCCCAGCTCTAAGATGCGTAAGAAGTGATTGAAAAGGCCATAGCTTGAATCAGGAACACCTTAGTCCTCAAACTGACATTATTGCTCTTGGGTATTTCGGAGAGGCCCCTGACTGCAGACTTTGCCAGTGAAGTATGTCTCCTGATCTCCTGACTGTTGGTACCAAGGGTGTTGATTGTGGATCTGAGAGAGAGATGGAGTTGTTGACAATTTCAGTCTTTGCTCCATCTATCGTGATGTTGTCCTTCAGTTGTGAGAACTCCATAAGGTTGAGCGCCCTGGAACCCCATGTGGCTGTTCAGCTGTCCTGTAAGGTCCTGTGAGCCAGAACCACTGGGGTTGCTCGAGGGTTTGGGGGAATTAGCCGCCTCAGCAGGCTCTCAGGTATTTGGGGTGATTGTCTTGGACTTAGCCTGAGGAGATTTCATGGGACAGAGTCGGAAATGGCCAATTTCCAGGTGCCGTGGAGAGGATGTGGACACTGCTGGGCAGTGTGCTGGAAACGAGGCAGAGAGTGGTAGGAACGTGAGAGGTAGGCCCAGACTTTGTCCCGTCCCTGGGCTGCACCTGAGGCACTTTGTTCACTGGATTGTATGACTCAGGTGGGAAGGGTGTTCTGTCCTTTTCAGGTCGACTCTGACAGGTACCCAGCAGCATCCAAGCTAAGTGAGGATCATGTGTCCAAGCTGGCCTCCTGGCTCGAGCTCGGGGACTGTGCCCTATGTGTACACAGGGGACATCAGGCCCTGTATCGCCCTCCCTCAGAGGACAAGGAGCAGGCATTAGAACCTCCAGGAAAGGGCTTGGTCAGGACTTCTGAACCCCAGCCTGGGCTCTGGAGTGACCGTGTTCCTCCTCCTGTGATTGCCCTTTCTTTGCCTACTGTGTGCTCTGCACCCTCCACGTGTGTAATAACCATCACGTGCCGTGTGCCAGCCCGCCCCCTGTAGTCTTCAACATGGAAC